AGCAATATTCTTGTAGTAAATCTCTTAACATGTGTATCCCGGACTAGTTTTGCTTCTCTAGTCAAATCCTGACTAATATGGGAATATTCAAAGTGAGGGCACAAGAAAGCTAAGCCAGCTCTAGAAAACATTTAAGAATCATCAGAAGAGGAATCTGTGATGAAGACGGAAGGGAAACCCTGAGGATGTGAATGCTGGTGAGGACAGCATGCTTTTGGAGAGAGACGTGATTGGTCAAGCACACCAAATCCCTACAGAAGTCAAGTGATATCCTAAAACCTACATCTGAAATGTGAGAGCTGTAGATTTGGTAAAGGGACCTCATGAAGAGAACAGGAAAGGAACCCCCAAGGAACAAGGAGAAGACACAGACATGAACAGGAGGGACTTTTCCTCCCAGACGCTCATCTGTGACAGACAGGAAGCTGAAAGATCATCAGTTAAGGTACTTCAGAAAAATAGAAGGTTGGAAAACACTATTATTTGTAAAACAACTGATACCTAAATATGTTCCATTGCTTAAGGTATTAAAACAGCCCAGAGGGAGATATTATGAAGATTGCAGAGAGGATATAACTGATACCAAATACAAATACCCCTTTAATGCAGGTGATGAGCTCCAAAATATGGAAACAGGAATTTTCCTTGGAGAGAAGGAAACCCTTCCACTGAGATGGAACAGGATGAAGAGGATGACAGCGAACGCACGCATGGAGGATGAGGAGGGACCCCAGAAGCTGGAATCCTGTGTCAAAGTGAACTATGGGGTAAAAGCATTTGCTGACCATGAGGGGAATATTGTCAGGTGGAGGACTTGGGAGTGAATACCAATATGAATTAACTTTTTTTTTTTAAAAAAAAAACAGGGAAAGGAAACAAGATTTGGCTCTTTTGGGAAAATAAGGAAAGACATAGAAACACTAAGCAGAATTGTGGTCAGATACACTTGAAAGCAATGAATTTGCCTTGATAAAGATAAAATTGATTTGTGTTCAGCAGCTTTCAGTTAGCTAAATATAGGAACAAGCATTGTAGGTTACCACTTGATCCAGAGTTAAGGTTTGGGGGACGATAGTGGCAAAATGACAAGAAGGCAGGGAGTTAAGTGTATTTTCAGGAAAGGCTGAAGTGATGGCCCTTGGAGTTAGGTTAGGCAAGAAAAAAATAATCTGGGGGAAAATGAAGGCCGGCCAGGTAAGGAGGTATTGAGGCATTGGCATGGTCTAGTAGAAAAAGAGTAACAGAAATGAGGATATGGGATCAGGCTGCTGGGATCTTTCTTGCCCAAGTTAGCAAGTCCATTTATTTAATCTTTCTTTAATTTAATTTAATTTAATTTTTCTTTATTTAATCTTGCCTTAGTTTCATTACCTGTTAACAGGTTGGTAACTGTGGGCAATATGCAAAGATTAAGTAAAATAATTTATATGAAGTAGGTGGCTTAATCCAGCCAAGCATATATTAAATGTCCATTATATCTTAATCATTTTTACCAAGGGAGAAGGCAGCTCTACATTTGGGAAGCTATAGTGAGAATAAGAAAATGATGTTTTAAGATGTCAGAGGTGGAGCTGCCTGGTCATATCCAGGGCATGAGTATGAGTGGGCAACCCAGCATCTCTGCAGGTGATCTTCACAGGAAGGAATGAGGAGAACACAGGGTGAACACCCTGAGTGTCACACACCAGGTATTGACAGATCAAGGGCTGAGGTAAGAACTTCTCACCCGAGGAACACAAGCTCCCAAAGCCTGATGACAGGGAAACTAGAGAGCTCAAATATTAAGGTTTTCACAGTAAAAGATTAATGTGTCCTAATACTAGGGAATTACAGCAGCTGGTACACATTAAATGGTGAAAACCCTCAAAACTTAAAATGTCTTCAGAAGATACTGGGCAGCCCCCATGTTGAGAAGAGCTATTTATAAGACAGGTCTAAAAATATCCAAAGCTTTCTCCGCAACTTTAACTTTCTCCCCAGGTCTGAGGACCAACCATCTTAGATCTATATCAGCTCCACAGTCTGCACTTTTAAATTCATCTCTGGAACATTTTTCCTGGTGAGTGAACTACCAGGACCCGTCTGCATGTGTAATATTTTAAAATAGTATTTTCAAGAATGATCCTCCATCATTTCAAGCAATGTTGCTCATTCTCAACATCATTTATAAAAGCTGCACTTGAATCCCACACCCTGGTTTTGTTCACTTCCTAGATGTAATATAAATTAGCTTTTGACTTTTCCCGATTAACTCTTCTTGATCCCACCCTCTTGCCACTCCTTAGTCCTATCTCTGAGTAAAGTAAACCTCAGTCCATCAAACTTTTTCTGGAGTTGCTTTTTAATTCATTGACACTTAGTCTAAACAAATTCTTCAGCCAATTAACTATAGATTTAAGTAAATTAAATATAAGATACCTAGGTATCTATAAGATAGAAATTAAATATAAGATACATTTATATACCCAGGGTAGATACCTAGAAGTGGAACTCCTGGATCTTATGGAGGCTCTATTTTTAGCATTTTGAGGAACCGCCACTCAGCTTTCCATAGTGGTTGCACCAGTTTGCACTCCCACCAGCAATGTAGGACAGTTCCTTTTTCTCCACATCCTCACCAACAATTGTTGTTGCTAGTTTTTTTATTTTATTTTTATTAATTTTTTTACATCATTGTTCATTTTTAAACAAAATTTTCTACCCCCCACACCCTCAGTTGTAGTCCCCATAGAATTTCCTTCACCAATGCCCCCGTGCACCATCACCACAGTCCCCTGTGGTCCTCCCTCCCTCCCTATGACCCCTATCCCTTCTCCTCCCCTGCAGAATGTCTTTGATTTATAATTGTCTGTTTTTGCTTTATTGTGTTTTGTACTGTTATTATTTTTTTATATTGATGTCATGTCTTATTTGGTTCCCCTATATTCCTGCTATAAGTGAAACCATCCGATATTTTTCTTTTTCCTTCTGGCTTATTTCACTGAGCATAATTCCTTCTAGCTCCAGCCACGTTATGTGAATAACATGAATTTATCTTTTTTGATTGCTGAATAATATTCGGCAATAATTCAGAATAATATTCAACCTACTAAAGTAGGTTGCCTATCAAGATGACAGTATAGCTTCACTCTCAGTTGTTAAGAATGGGGTGGGAGGATGAGTAATATTTTTGTGAACTACTCACTTTTGTACTTTAACAGAATTTATCACTTTGTATTAATTTCAGTCTGGGATATATAAATGTATCTTATATTTAATTTCTATTTACCATAATACCTTAGCTAATCTACAGTGACACTTTTTCTCTTTCTGACATGTTTAACATTCTCTATGGTGCTATCATTGCAAATATTTTAGCATTCTGCATTCTTTTTAATCCTGTCTGCGGGGCTACATAAAAAGTTGAGAACTTCTCAAACTCAGAACTTGAGCTGCTCATTCAAATGACTAGAAGATATATGTTTTACTCAAGCACTTAAATATATGTAGGACACAGGTTTTTTTTTTAGCATCTTCTTTGTGTAACAATGTTTTGTTAAAAACAACAAACTTTGTACCAAAGAGCTCCTACATTTTTAACTCTAACTTAGAATACTATTTTATTTTTCCTTTTGGTTACTATAGTCTTCTCTCTAATGTAGAGTAATTGTGAAATTACTAATGACTTTGACAAACATTTTGCTTTTAAAAATATTCCCCCTTCTGCAAGCTTTACTCATCACTAATAGACTTCCTGTAAAAATGTAATAAGCAATTACAGAAACCAAGGGTAACAACACTAATTGTAGGTGAAATGAGCTTTAGAATATGTATTTGGAGGCTTAAATGAGGATTTTAGTGGATGAGGCTGAGGATGAAAGGAGTGGCATTCATTCCCAAGGAAAAAGGAAAGGGAAAAAAGATAAAGGGGCATTTTTATTATGATTATTTCAAGAGAAAGATTCAAATTGCCGTAGCCCTTGTCCTTAAAGCTCATAATAAATAAAGAGCCTGCTTCAAAACTAAAGTCAGGATAAAAAAGAAAGAACTCAGTTCTTCATCCTTACAATGTCACTAAACAGAGACTTGCTTCCTTCACTTCACAGTTTCTTCTCAAAGGAATGCAAGCTTCTTATTCATTCTCAGAGCTGCACTTCCAAAGCAATAAGTCTTCCAGAAAGGGAATCACATATATCTCAAAGTGTGTTCAATATAGAGTTGGGATTTTTTTTTTTTTTGTTTTCCTTTTTTTCCCTTGTTGAAAGAGGGCAAAATAAGAATTATTGCACTTACCAGAAAATTAACATATATGTGAATAGTTGGATATCTATTATTGGATGTTAATTTACATGTAATTCCACAAAAGAACAATAAAACTTTGTTTCTCCAAGTGGAAAAAAAATGCATCACGATCCATACTTTAGAGGATAACTTATTTACGAAAGTTCACTGATATTCTAAATAAATGAGATGGCATTGGCGATACAGTACTAAAAAGGTTCATGCGTCGACACCAACAACCCTAGATAAAATATTGGCATTTGTGTCATAAACCATAACACCAATCTGGGTCACAGGAATTCTGAATTATCTTCAGAGCATTCAACTGGAAATTCTTAAGAAAGATATACAAAGGACAAAACAATGTGTTCCAAACTGATGCAGGCAACCAGGCAAAAAGCCAGGCAAATGCACTAATTTCCTCATCAGGAGACACACCTTGATCCACACCCTACCTAGTATTTTTCTGTCCATTAAGTTTTCAGCAGGGACTGGAGGCTGATTCCAATCCTCCAGGAGCGTTTGGCCATTAGTATTCGCCCTATGAGCCTGGCAGTCTTCCACCAAAATATCTACGAGGAAAATCTTCCCTTCTAAGTAAGTCATCTTAGAATCTCCGGAGTCCTGCACGCAATGGAGTCCCCAGGACCTGCCTAACGCCCTATCACCCTTCCAATTAGCTGGGCCCGACCCTCTCCCTTCCAGCTCTGGCCACTGTTGCGTGCCGATCCTGCACTCACCGGATGATCACGAACATAACCAGGGAGTTGCCCACCAAGCCCACGACGAACACCACGGAGTAGACCGCCGTGATTATAACTGGGATGGCCGGGGAGATGTGCGAGGGCTCCAGCGGCGTGCCCTCCGAGACGGCACTGCTGTTGGTGTCAGGCTCCGCCGTACCCGGGAACGAGATGCTGTCATTAAGGCTCAGGCAGGTGTTCGGAGCGCAGGTCGGAGCCGGCTCCCCGCGAAAGATCTGGACTGGAGACTCCATAATCGGGTGGCTGCAGCTGGAGGGCGAGGAGTGGCGGCACCTGCGGGGCTGCGGGACCGAGAGAACGAGTTGAAGCCAGACAAGCAAACTTTGGCCGAGCCCGGGCCCGCGCGCAGAGGCCAGCAGCCCTGGGGGCCCTCAGCCGGCTGGTGTCCACTCAAGTTCGCTTGTCCCTGGAGGAGTAACAGGGAAGACTGACCTGTTGAGCCACCCTGGCCAGCAGACACGCCTCTGAGTGCAGGGTCGGGGAGGGTACTGGCTGCAGTCCCAAGCTCCTCAGATGCCTTCCCCCGCTACCTCAGCACAGCCACCCCATGGAAGTGGCCCCAGACTTGCTGCTTCGGGGCCGACAGATCCCTCAAGCACAGAGTCCTTGCTACCAAGGTCTTTGCCTCGAAATCTCACCTCTAGCTCGCCGACGGGTCACCAGCTTCTTGGCTGGTGCTGAACCTCGGTCCCCAGGTCCAGCCGAGCCTCAGCCGTGGGCTTTTAGATCAGGACTCCGCTTTCTGACCAAGGGCGACTTTTCAGCCCAGCGCCGCCAGCGCAGCGCAGCTCTCACCTAGCAAAACCGACTGCGGCTCAGCCAGGCGGTGTGCGCGGCGAGGACCCGGCGGGAGCAAGTACCCAGCCCCCGGAGGCCCGCCCGAGGCCCTCCCCCTCCAAGCCCCGCCCCGCCCCGCCCACCTAGAGAGGCCGGTCCTGGGCTAGAGGATGGAAGCTGTCCCGGCGCCCCCAACTGGCTCAGTCCGCCCACCCCGCCCTTGAACTTCCCAGAACCAAATCGCAGCTTCTGTTGAATAGCCTTGTGGTCTTCCCAGCGTCCTAGGAAAATGCGTTTCTGTGCCATAGATTTTCAGCAATTAGGAAGGGTGTGCCTACTGAGTGCGATATACATTTGGATTGTGCATAATAGATTAGAATTTTTTGTAGGCATAGTTCTTAGGACACGTCTTCTTCCAGGTGAGTAGAAAAATCACAGTTTTGTTTATTTGAATGACCCATTCAAATAAAGTAGCAAAGTGATCCTATTAGAATAAGACCAGATCATAAAATGTTAGCAATTTATGTACATAAATGAAAGAGTTCTGTGAATGCTGTGCATTTTAGTCTAACTGGAGCTACACACATACTGCGCCTCATAGGCATTGCCTGTGTTGTGTAATATCAACATTCTCCTCATTCAGGCATCAGTGTTGGTCTAGATAGTTAGCAATATCTCTGTCTCTCACATTAACCCCTGCAACTATCATGTTCTCTTAATTCTCCCTCACGGTAGTGCTTTCTCTCTAAAACGTCCCAGAATCGCAACCCCCATTGAGAAATTCAGTCAATATCATTCCTTTGCATCACTGTCACTCCAAGGATCTCTGCCAGGTGGGACAGTGACCAAAAGGTAGGAAAACAAAGGTGGATTGGAGGAGGGGAGCCAGGAATCACTAAGGTGAAGACCCTGAAGCAGTGTAGGGAAGTTCCCTTTCCCACTTGGGTAATGAAGTCATTGATTCCTTCTCACAGCTCACATCCTTGGCATCACAATGGCAGATCCAGTTATTCCATCCTTCACTGGTAGCAAAAAAGTGCTCCTATTTATTCTTTTTTTCTATTATTTATTTATTTATTTATTTGTTTGTTTATTTATTTATACAAGCACTGGGTACAGTCAGAAGCGCGGGAGGGTGAGAGAATTCACCAGAGCCAGAGCGGGGAGTAGAGCAGGCAGAAGGACCGAAGTACACTGCTGAGGGGAGCAGCGGGCGGCAGGAGAGGTCTGCGCGCCATGTGGGACCCTCCTCCGGTGGCCCGGGGAGCAGCCGGGGATCTAACAGGCGCTGCAGAAGCCACTGGCAGCTTCGCAACCCAGCGCTCAACTGCTGCGCCACCGGGGAGGCCCTATTTATTTATTCTTAATTTATTTATTTATATATTTTTCACACTTGATCTTACCAAAAGCTGAGAAGTGATTATATAGTTTTTACATCATTGTTCATTTTTAAACAACGTTTGCTTCCTTGCCCCACCCCCAAGGTGTAGTCCCCATGGAATTTCCACCACCAATTCACCCATGGACCATCACCATAGTCCCCTGTGCTCCTCCCTCTCTCTTTCCACTACCTCTCCCTCCCCCTCCCTGCAGGATGTCTCTGGTTTATAATTGTCTGTTTGTTTTTGTTGTGTTGTGTTGTGTTTTGTATTATTATTATTTTTTCCCTGATGTAGTATTTGGTTCCCCTATATTCCTTCTATAAGTGAAACCACCTGATATTTTTTTCTTATTCCTTCTGACTTATTTCACTGAGCATAATCCCTTCTAGCTCCATCCCTGTTGCTTCAAATGGCATGAGTTTATGTTTTTTGATTGCAGAATAATATTCCATTGTGTATATAGTCCACATCTTCTTGTTCTAGTCATCTATTTTTGGGCATTTGTGTTGTTTCCATAGATTACCTATTGTAAATAGTGCTGCAGTAAACCTAGGGCTACAGGTATTCTTTTAAATCAATGTTTTTTTTAATATTTTATTTTATAAAATTCTTACATCATTTTTCATCTTTGCACATCGTATGCATTTTCATTTTAGTTATATTCCCCATACAACTGCACCTTCCCTTATTTTGACTCTAGTCCTTCTTCTCCCAGCCCCTCCCCCCTCCCCCAGTGTGTCTCTGGTTTATAGTTGCTTGTTGATTTTGATTAAATCAATGTTTCTGTGTCCTTTGGGTAGATCCCCAGGAGTGGAACTGCTGGGTCATATGGTAGATCCATTTTTAGTAGACTGAGGAATCTCCATCCACCTTTCCATAGTGATTGGGCCACTCTTACTTTCAAAATACCGTAAAACCCCCAATGAGTGATTTGACCCATAGGGTCTTACCACACAGGTGGAAAGCACAGTTCTTTGGACTTTAGTGCAGTATGAGAGGGAGAATAGGAAAGCTCCCCTTTGCCCTATGGTATCCCCTTAATCCTAGATACTTTGGGAGTTTTAACAATAAGTATTATCAAATCTTATGTTTAAGTCTGATTTCATTAAGAGATGATATCTCCTCTGTGTGTCTGAGGACCATGTCTGTTTTAGGAAGATGGCAGACAAATTGTCTCCGGATGTCTTGGGGCTCACTTCCTGCCAGTGGTATCCTATGCTACCACCAAAACAGCCCAGCAAGATGTTTTGTTTGCATGTCACCAGTGTCACTTGGAGACATGTCCAAGTCAGAAAAAAAGTAAAAATAGTGTGTTGAAGGAAAATAACTAGAAGGACAGAAATGATCTATCTATAATCACCTATCTGCTGTCTCTGATTTTATTGCATTTAATTGAACGACATACTTCTGAAGGACTGGTTATGACATCTGTACTTCTTATGCACTCATTTCCCACATTGGCTGGTTAGATTTTTTTTTTATCTAGCACACAGGTGGCTCACACAGCTGGTGATGTTGGAGTTGGTTTCAAACACAGGCATTTCTAGCTATTGCCATCTGCTGATTGAACAGAACTTTTTCATATAAGGGGGAAAATGGAAAGCGACTCTTACCCAAAAGATGAAACAAATACATAAGAGGGTATTTAATCGGGGGGGAGGGAAATGAAAGGTGTTACCTGATAAGATTTCATTTTAAAAAGGTTAAAAAAATCAAAAACTTTAAGGATGTTTTCAAGTTGGTACAATTTCAATAATCCAAAGCTTTGATCTCACATCTCAGATTCTCACCTATACACAGTGTGTGAAGGGGGTTTGCTGGGAAAATACTTCTATAATGAAAGCAGAATCAGAATTCAGTCAGGACTTTTGAACTGTTAGATGATGTTCTAAATTTGATTATTGATAAGAAAACTCTACTTGATCTTTTGAAGGAAAAAAACTTACTAATCATCATAAAAGTACTTTCATTTCATTTGTGTACTCCTATTTTTTTTAAGCCAAATTAATGGCCAGAATTAAGGGAAGCCAAAATGGGCAGAGCTCGAAAGAGGAAACCTTCTGGCAACTCTGGTTGCCAGGGGAACCTGGCGTGTATCTCTGAACACAGAGGAAAGCTGCTTATGTGGAGTCAGGTTGTCAGGAGTAGGTGATTTTATCATAATATTGGAGAAAAGCTTATAAAATATGAAGAAACATAAACTGCTTGAATGCAGTATGCTATTATACACTGATCTAAAACACATGTTATTGAACCCCCTACTGCTTTACTTCTGCCATTCTCCTCAAGGCAAACACTACACACATGACTACTAGTAAAGCCCTTCCAAAGTGGAAATATGTTCTTAGGGTTATTGCTTAATGCTGCAAAGCATCTTTGTTGGTGGGTGGTTTGGCATTTCTGCCATAGAGACCAGGAACTCACCAGCACACTATGAGGAGCTCCCTTTATTGTGCTTCTAAACGCAGACACAAACCTGCAATGAGTGCAAAGCTGAGAAAAACAGTAACATAAGCTAGAGACCCGAGGTGCAGCCCACACAACTTCGCTAAAGCCAAAAAACAACAGCTTGGGTCACCCCACTCAGTAGATATTGCTGAATTTCCTCAAATGGTAGAGGATATGGCAGGACTTGATGGGGTAACAATTGAACAACACAAAACAATTCTGCCTGAAAGAGGAGGTGCAATCTGGTGTGAGAGACAGAATCTAATTTTTAAAGTTATGACGAATTAATAACAATTAATTTAACTCTGTAAATGTTATGTAGGAAAAGTATTTTAAAAAGAAAACAAGGCTCGGGCCTCCCTGGTGGCACAGGGGTTAAAGACAGCGCTGTCAAGCTATTGCCAGCCACTGCAGCACAAGTTGTGTCCTGGCCAGGGAGCAACCCGCATGGCTCAGCAACCTCTCCTGCCTCGTCCGCTGCTCCCCTCAGCAGTGTATTTCAGTCAGTCTGCCTGTTCTGCTCCCCATTCTCTCTGGTGAATCCTCTCACCCCCTGCACCTCTGTCTTACACCCCAGTTCTTATATGTATAAATAAATCTTTAAAAAAAAAACAAAAGAAGAAAACAGGGCTCCCAATAGCCACTGCAGCAAGATTGGGAAAAATAAAGAATGCCCCCCGCCTTCTTCAAGACATTTCACTTCTGTCTGCAAATTGTCGTAACAGAGATGTATGTCTTTTAGTCATTGACTTGAAGGTGTCTTGTGGACTATTAGAAGTGCACAACCTGAACACATCTGACTAGACACATGTCAGTGAACCTTGGTACAAAAGCATCAGGGAAGTCCTTCCTGATAAAGTGACATTGAAGCTACATTTAAAGACTGGTGGTAGCTCTCCCAGTGGAGTGCAAGGAACCATTCTAGCAGCATGTAGGAAGGACGTGGAGGAACAAGGGTCAACTGAGTTATCTTAGCCTGGTGACCAAGAGAATCATGGCATAAGATGAAAAGGCAGTCACAGCCAGATCATGCCTGGTCCTAACAAATATGCTGATGATTTGGGATTTCATTCTAAGTAATAGAAAGCCATTGAAGTTTTCAGATAGGAGTGTGGCACATTCAGATTTGGGATTTTTATAAAAGTATCCCTAATTTGTAAAATGTATTGGAGGAGACAAGAGCAGATGTGAAAGCTCTGTATTGTATTAGTGTCATGCACTATTGTGCCTAAA